GGGAGAAGTGGAAGGGGCCAGGAGAATTCTCTTTCTGGGCACCACCTTGTAAATTTTGCGTGCATTTCTGTTACTCCTAGATGAGTTAATTATGGAATAGACTGTACTAGTGAGTTTCTGTTTGAAGCATCCACCACGGTGTTTCATCGCGGCTTATGTGCATCTGGTTAATCCAGCAGTCCACAAGTAACCGCTCTATGAAGACTCCACATCAGGTGCAGGACATGCATTTGGGAGGAGGCCATGGGGGGAGTCTCCTGCTTGGGAGATTCCAGAGCCTGGTAGAGGCTCAGACGCCGGGTCCATCCTTGCCTTCCCGTTGGGCTGTCAGCTCCCGAGGGCCCCAGACACCCCAGCCTTCCCCAGCTGTTGGGTGCAGGCTGGGTGTATCCTGAGTTGGGCTAGAACCCGGTGCACAGCTGCCCTTCCCGGACCCTGGCCTAGGCTGGGGGTCAAGGCGCTGTGCCAAACAGGAAGGAATACAGAGGTCCAGAGAGTCCGACAGCCTGGGATTGAATCTTGGATCTCAGGCATGTTGCCTTGGGTGAGTCCCTGCCTGCATGATGCCCTCGTCCCCTCCTGGGGCAGCCTCACTGTAACTTGCAGGGGTGCGGCGGGGATTGGATGAATTAAACTAATGCCTATGCAGGGCCATCACTCAGCAGGTGGGAGCCTGCTCTGTGTCCCCTGGGTAGGGCACTGCCCCTCAGAGGGCATCTGGGTCTGAGGCCCTGTAAGGAGGTTGGCAGGCCAGAGACCCTGGGGCGAGGGCTCTCTCCTTTCAGCCCGATCCTATTTTCTGTCTGGGCTGTGGGCACAGCAGTGAGGGCTGGCCCGGCCTCCAGTGCTGTGCACTGCGTGTTTTGGCAACCCATTGTCCACCAAGGCTGTGGGGGTAACAGCACCCTCCCCAGGCTCTCCTGGGAGGAAATCCCTGCCTATGAGCTCTGCAGAGGCATCTCACCTAAGGGAACCTGCCGGAGGAATTGGCAGGGGCAGACCACGTGGCTTTCTAGGGAGGGTGGATAGACAGGCACTGTAGTCTGCACCTCCTCTTGGCCCTTTGGCCTTTTCCTTCTGTCTCTGGGTCTTGCAAACTTGGGCTGCTCCCTTGCTCTGTTGAAATCTCTCCTTCCCCATCTGCTGGAGGGCACGTGGCCCCTCCTTCCCAGGGCTACTGTCCAGCCCAGACAAGATCTTCCCAAAATAACAGCTGGGATCTCAGTCCTTCTCCCCTTCAGGGAGCCCAAGTCAGGAAAATCCATGGCTTTTGGGGATCAGACATCACTGAGGTCCACTAGCCCCCCCTCCCTGCATGTGAGCAGCTGGGGTGGGCACCTCCTTTCCACCTAGCCCAAAATGAGCAGTCCCTCCTCTGTGTGTGGGCCCTGAGTGGCTGACATCGGGGCTAGGGGCACGGGCCACCCAGGGAGAGGTCACGGGTCTGGACAGACGCGAGCTGCTCGCTACCTGCAAATACGTGAGGGTATCGGCACCTGCCTTTTCCAACTGTTTTAGAAGGCGCCCTGTCCTCTCCAGGCAAAGCAGGTGAAACTGGAATTCTGGAGCAGGGTTAACAGGATGCTTTTCCTTCCTCTCCTGTGCCACACCTGGGGCCGCTGATGCTTCTGGCTTTGCACATACTTAGAAATAAATCTATTAATGAAATATTTCAGATTGCCAAAATGCCTCAAGTGTTCTTCTTCTTCTTCTTCTTTAATGTCTATTAAACATTTAATGTTTATTTTGAGAGAGAGAGAGAGAGAGAGAGTGCGCGCATGTGTGGGAGGGGAAGAGAGAGAGGGAGAAAGAGAAAATCCCAAGCAGGATCCGCGCTGCCAACGTAGAGCGTAATGCCGGCTCGATGTCACAAACTGTGAGATCATGACCTGAGCCAAAATCAAGAGTCTGATGCTTAACTGACTGAGCCCCCCAGGTGCCCCATAGAGTGTTCTAATGGCCACTCAGTTCCCACTACCCGGCCTAAGGGAGACATTATTACCATAAATAGTGGTAATGGCCACCGGGTAGTTGAAGGCCCCTATGTGAGCCCTCCTCCCCAGAGGTGCCCCCTCCTCTGAGAACTGTGTTTTGTTACTTCCTACCCACATAGATAAAGACTTGGTGCAACATCTAGTGTTATTCTGCATGTTTCTAAACCCGAGAAAGCATATTATACAGGGTGTAACCTATACTTTGCTTCTGTCTGCTGCGGCCTTATGTTCGTGAGCTCCACCCACGGAGTTCTAGTTCATTTGCAGGCTTGTAGAGAACTCCATCACGTGACCGGGCCACACATGGGATCGCCAGCCTCCTATGGATGGACATTTAATTTGTCTCCAATCTTTGCGATTACAAACAATACTGGGACACACATAACTCTACACTTTCCCCTCTGGCTAGCATCCCTCCCTCGCCCAGCCTTGGTCACCCAGACACTCCTATGCATTTGTCAAAACCACCCTCTCAGGCATCAGGACCCGGATTCCTCATGGTGGCCTCCCAGAGCAGCTGGGATCCCTCGGGGAGCTGCCCCCAGGGTGTTGGCCACCGAGGACTCTGTGGGGCCCCGGGCTGCTACTGTCAGGAACAGACACACATCTGGCCCCCAGCACACCGGCCAGTCTTGTCCCAGGAAATTCGGAATGCAGTGCTTTAGGACAGGAATTGATGGTAGCCCAGGTGTACGGCTCTCGAGTCTAAGTTTTGGGTGAGGATCGATGGCAGGGCTCATGTGCCTTCCGTGAGGTGTCTGCTGCTGGTGGTGGCCGGGGCTGGCTGGGCTCTGATCTCCAACAGGGCAGTTAGACGCTCTACACGGGAGGAGGGGGGGCAGGATTCCAGGAAAGCAGAGGCAGAAGCTGCCTAGCCTCCTGGGGGCCGGCCTGGAAACAGGGCCAGCATTATTTCCACTGCACTCTATGGTCAAAGCAAGTCACAGGGCCATAGTGATGGGGGAAGCGGCATGCGGTCGGTTCACTGCACCCAGGGTCACCGATCCTGACAGTCGGGTCTGTTTCCCACGTCCAGGTCCCTCCCGCCAATCTTTCGCACATACTGTCTGCTCAGTGGGAGAGAGTCCTCCAGCCCCCACCCACCTCACAGATTGGCTCAGCTTCCATTTACCCATCACCTTCCCGGGGGGCTCAAAGCCCTCCCGCATATTCATCGAGCAGCCTCCGCTGCCTTGATCACCCACACTGTAATTGTTGCTTTCCGAAGGCCTCTCCAGGTAGGACGCACGCTGGCACCCCTGCCGTGCCTGGCACATGGCAGGTGCTGTGGGGATATCTGTCTAGTGAAGGGATCCAGTAAAGGGTGTGCTCTTTGCACACGACCCCAGAGCCTCCCATTTAGATGCTGCACTTATCATGGACCCCGAGACAGAGCTTAGGGTTCAGGATGTTTATTAGGAAGTTGCCTTGAGATTCATACCTGTGCAAGGGATGGGAAGGAGGCAGGAGTGGACTGAAGGGGGTAGTAGGGGAGGAACCCATGACAGGTTTGACTGCCCCTGGGCGAGTCCTGGGGCTAAACTAGCCCATCAGCAGAAGATGGCCAACTTTCATTCTCCTGTCTTAGGCCTCATTGGGATGCGGACCACCCCTACCTGGGTGTGACCTTGGACGAGGAGGCTCATGCGTGCAGCAGAGCTGAGGGTTGGGGGCTATCTGCTTACAGCACTCTCTGTGGCTCTCACAATAAGTCCTTCCTTAGAGGGGGACTGGAATGACACACTTTCGTTCTCCTCTTGGGATAGAAGAACATCAGGGAGATGGTGGTCCCTGAGAGCCGCTAAGAGGAAGCCAGCTGTGACCTGCGGCCAGAGGAAGAGCTGCTGTGAGAGCAGAGTAAGGGAGTGTTTTACCCACATCCATGCCTGGGGGGCTTGAGTTTCACTTCCGGGTCTTCCCGGGACTTCATTCCATCGCATCAACACCCAGAGACAGAAAATCCCACTCTTCGCTCTTCCTCTTCGGCGCTGTGCCTTGCAGTGTCGGGGGGTGGGGGGTGGGGTGGGGTGGTGTTCTGGATATCACTCGGTGTGAATCATGGCTCTTTAACCTCCACTCCCTCCTTTCTGACCACTCCCCCATTACCCACTGTCTAACAGACTGATCTTTACAAAAAGGAAATCACATATCCAACTCCCTTCCTTAAAAAAATACTTAGAAATCCCGGCTCCGGGAGAGCCAGGCCCTCTGTGATCTGCCCTGTCCAACTCTCTCACCTTATTTCCTTATCCCCTTGGTCACCCGGCCCCAGCCCTGCTAAAGTAGATCTGCCTTGGCAATTCCTGTCGCCCTTGCCTTGAGCCACTTTCCCTCCAGATGTTCACAAAGATGCTTCTTCCAACTCTATAAGATCTAGGTTCAATGTCATCTCATCCAGGAAGCCTTCACTGATGACATCCTCGACGCATTCTTCCTCCCCTCCACCCATATTTATTCAATAAATATTTACTAAGCACTTACTATGTTCCAAGCACTTTCCAGGCAGCGGGGATATTCGAGAAGCTGGACTCCGGGCCTTGACCTCTTGCGGCTTATATTCTAGTGGGAAAGACAATCAATCAACGAAAATAAAAAGTGCCACAATTTCAGAGCGTGTAAAGTGCTATGAAAAAACAAGAGCAAGGTAAGGGGGCGAAGAGTGTCCTCCGCCACCGACCACGGCGCAGCGGTGCGGACCCGCCCTGGGCGCAGAGTCCGGGGCGGCGCGCGGAGGAGGCCGGTGCGGTCGTCCCGGCGGCGGGCAGGGTCAACTGGGCCCCACCCTCAGCTCCCGCTGCCGCCGCGCCGAGGCGCGCTCGCTCCCGGGAAGGGCGCGCCGGAGCGGGTCACCCAGGTGCGCGGCCTCCGGGAGCCACCGCCCCGCCGCGCGGCCGGGGCGGGGAGAGGGGAGGCGGGTCCGGCCGTGGCCCCGCCCCCGGGCCGTCCATAAATGCGCCGGGCCGGCCGGTACCCCGGGATCCGAGCGTGGGTTCCAGGGGACGGCGGCAGGTCGGTGCGGCCCGCGGCCGGTTCGCTGCCACGCCCGGGGCGCGGCGCGCGCGGAGCCGCAACCATGCTGTTCTGGCACACGCAGCCCGAGCACTACAACCAGCACAACTCCGGCAGCTACCTGCGGTAAGGGCCGCGGCGCCCCCGCGTGACGGGCGCGACCCGCGGGGCGCGGACGGGGTCGGCGGGCCAGGCGCCGTCGGACGTCCCGGGGCGGGGCGGGAGCCGCAGGGCCCCGGGTCCCCGAGCGGCCTCGCCGCGCCCCGGCCTCCCCTATGTCTGCCCTTCTGGGGCTGGGAGAGACGTCGCCAGGGTCCCGCCTAGGGACGGACGGACGGACGGACCCCGGCGGGACCGGTCCCCCCACTTTGAGGACCCTGGCGGGCGCGGAGCGCACACCTGCTGCCCGCAGCCGCCCAGCCCGCCCGCCTCCCCAGGCTCGCCTGTCCACGCTCGCGTGGGAAGAGAGAGGAAACTTCCTGCCGTCGGCCCGGTGCCCGTCGCGGGGACGTCTGGACCCCTGCTCTTTGCCCCTCTCTGCGCGGGTCCTCCGAGCCGCGCGCCCTCTCCAGTCACCTTGGGCCGCGGGACGGGTGAGCGGCGAGGGCCGTCCCCGCGCTTCAGCCCCGCGGGCCGGCGGGCGGGGGCTCTGGCGAACAGGTGGCCCCCTCCGTCCAGGTGGTCTTGCGTTATTGGCCTGGGGCCCGCACGTGTATGACCCTTGATGGAAATCTTTCTTCTTCTGCAGGGACTTGACTAGTGCTCTTCAGAGGGACAAGTAAGTCGTGCTTGTTTTTTTCAAAGTTCTCTCCCATCCCCTTTAAGGAAGTAAGAGCCCCCGTTAGCTTCGGTTCCTGGAGGACTGTTTTTCCCTGTTCTGCAGCTGGCTGGGCACTAATGGGCAGTCATTTCATTTTCTGAACTCGCCTGAACCAGCTTTAGCCTGTCCTTATTTCCATCCTGGTCACAGTTTATGAAATGTGTCTGATTTAACCCAAAGGGCATTTGGTATGGGCTCAGAGAAAGTGAATCGTGAGAATTCCTCTCTCTGGGAGTCGCTGGCACTGATAGCCCAGAAGTGAGAGCCACTCTCAGTGCCCGTCCCCCCCCCCCCGCCCCCCCAAGAAGTTCTCATTCAGATTTAGCAGTCCACGTTATCTGGAAATCCTGGCTTCTGCTAAGTATGTGTCCAGTAGTGCTCTCTGAAGGCATCACTGTTCCGGAAGCAAGGAAATTATTGGGTTTAACTGCTCTGTCTTCTGTCCTTTATTCCTGGGTCTGGGTCGTAAGAGGTGGCAGAGTGTACTGTCTTAATTAACGAATGATAGCTTCCCTGCAGACCACGGTGATGTCATCAGAAGAAAACTGCAGGAGAGGGGGGTGGGGGAGGGGGTCAGGAGTCCACTGGGCTGATGTTGGACCCTGAAAAATTGTATCCACTCACCTGCAGGAACTGCTACGGTGGAGTATATTTTATTGTCCTGTGTGATGTTACAGTTGTGGTGTTTTGCCTGAATTTTAGTTTGTGGTCATTAAGTATGTTGCCATATCTTAAAAATGAGTTTGAAGGTGACCTTGAGTGGAATGCGAGTGTATTTGAAACTTCCTGGATACTTAAAATGTCATCCCATTAGGGACTAATTCTCCCCTTGTATAGGAGGCTCTTTGACTACTGAGATGGAAATTGGGTCTGTGGAATTCCTTAGGTACCTTTTTAGGATTTTGGTATTGTGTTGGGAAGTCAGGAGGTGGGGTGGGAATCGGGGTGAAAGGTGCCACAAAGCCATATTGGCTTTTGGGATCATTTTGGGGCAATAGATAAAGAAGCATTTGGTCCATGGCATTCATTTATTTTTGTTTAAAATATTTTTATTTCACTTTTTGGGAGCTAGGATTTTCACCCTATAAGAGGCTGACCTCAATGAAGGCCAAGGTGATGGTCAGTGCGGTTCCCGCAACTCCAGAGTGAGCGACTTGTTCTTTTCCTTGGGTTTTATATTTTATTTTTATCGTCTCCTTGCGCTGCAGAACTGCTGCAAGTTGTCCGACCTTAGCAAGGTAGTGGCCTTTACTCCTTTCTTCCTTTTTCTGTTTGATGTTCTCGTGACTTTTATTCCTTGGCAAATAAGGATGCCAGGCTTGAAACAAGTTACTGTTGAGTGATGGTTCTTACCACTCCTGATTTTTCTTCTTCCTTTTTTTTTTTTTTTTTTTTAATTTAAAGGCAGCAGCCCATGGATTATTAACTTAACACGGTCTGGGCAAACATGACATTATGCAATCCCCAGGTGAGCAGGCCTGCCTGCCCCTCCTGGTTCCTACATCCATTTGGGCTGGGAGTGGGCGCCAGTCCGGCAAAAGGAAGGTGCCATGTTCGGAGGATCGGGACAGCACTGCAACGCCTGCCTTTGGGACGCAGACTGTGGCCCAGGGGACCACCCCCTCCCCGCCTCCCTGCACGGGAGGGTTCCCAGGTGTGCCCCAAGCCAGCCAGACTTCAGTTCCTGAGAATGGTTTGGCCTTGCTGGGGCGTGTGCTGGGTTTGTGTCTTAGACTGCTGGTTTATTGTATCGTCCCAGGAACAGATTGTACGGGGACTCTGAGGTTTATATGGTGAAGTGGGGTCAGTGGATCTGATTCATAACCCAGGACACTCAGAGGGAGGAGGGTTATCAAGATAAGGGCACCAGCACTTTTTTGGCACTGGTTCCTAAGCTGCCTGTAATTTAGAGGCCTTAAACAAAGCCTCTCCTGCTCACAGGTCATTCGTGAGCTCAAGAATTTCCTTTTCCCTCGCGAGGGCATTTAAACAGTACATCCAGATACAAGCCCTAGGCAGATGGGAGGCCGATTTTTTTTTTTTGGATATGGTAGGGAGTTTTGTTCAGAGGCAGAGTAAAAGAATTTCTGAGCATCTTGACATTTTCCATTTGGATAAAGAAAACGGAATTAAAACCAAGGTCTTTCCTCCTTGTATTGCAATTTTAGGAGCTACTAGTAGGACTCTTAAAATCATGCGCCAGCCAGCGGCAGGGTGTCCCCTGAGTGAGGGGAATGCAATTCCTGCATGTTTGCATAGTTTACGGAGCCCTAAGGAGCCCTAAGGACGGGGTTGAATTGGTCTGAGAAGCCGCCAGTGAATAGAATCGTTGACTTAAAAAGTTACAAGTTTTGTTCGGATTCTCATGCTAACTAAAAAGCAAGGCTCCCTAAGGAGCAGCCTCTGGTGGATGGAAACCTTGTGGCATTTACAGTTTACCCCACTGCTGCGGGTCCCTTTGTCGCAGAGGAGATTTCTGTAATTTGTAGATAGTAGATAAGTTTGCATTTTTGCCTCCTTGATTTGATTCCGTAAATCCCTGGAGGGCCATTGGGTGCAAAGGAGCATCCGCGGGGACTGGTTTGCTCTGAAACCTGCCTCTGGAGCAGGTGGGGGAAGCTGAGTCAGCACAGCACTGCTACCCTGCCCGCCCCCCTGTGCTGCCCTGGGCAGGACCCGCCTGTCATGGGCTCCCCAGGGGGAGCCCCTTGCCTGACTGCCCCCTCCTGTGTGTTGCAGCGACGTGCTCGCCCTGCCCATCTTCAAGCAAGAGGAGCCGCAGCTGTCCCCTGAGAACGAGGCCCGCCTGCCGCCTCTGCAGTATGTCTTGTGTGCTGCCACGTCCCCTGCCGTGAAGCTGCATGAGGAGACCCTGACCTATCTCAACCAAGGTAGTGGCTGGAGCATGGGGCCAGGGCAGAGCCTGAGGACTGGGGCGACCTCCTTGAAGGGATGGGGCATCGGCCCCAGTGACCCCATCGGGCTTCCTTACCTTGTCAAGTTGGGGTTAAGGCCTTTGTGTCAGACAGATGGCATTTCCCAGCTGCGGGACCACCCTGAGCCTCCGTGTATTCATCTGCAGAGTGGGCGCAGCAGCTGTGATGTGGCGCAGGCCAGCCGCGGGGTACGTAGCTTCCTGTGCACACCCTCTGTGCGGCAGGTGCTCAGGGATCAGCGGCCACCGGTGCGATCACTGTTCACTGTGACCGTGGCCGATGTCCTTTCCTGGACGTGGCTGGAGCATGCGAGGTGTCCTAGGTCTGCTGTCCTTTCTGGAGCTGCAGCAGGCCGTGGCGGGAAGGGGGCCGGACTCCACGTGTGCCAGGCAGAAGCCCCGTGTGCCGCTGGCAGCAGGACCGTGCGCGACGCCCTGGAGAAGTGCACGGGCTTGGCAGTGTCAGTCTCCGCTCTGTGACTTTGAGCTGCCTTCGCTATTTCTGCGCCTCCACGTTTTCACGTGTAAACCAAGACGTGTAATTTTGTGACATTTGACAGGAATGAAGTGGTTTCAGGCATCTGTCCGGTATGATAATGGCTGTTGAGCTGCTGATTGCCTTTATCAGGACGCACGGATCAGCGTCCTAACAGATGGCGTTTTTGTGGTTTCTGTGTGAGCCTGTGTGTGTGTGTTTATTGAACTTTCTTCCTGGGCCACCTCCTAGACACCCTGGCATCAGGTGGATTCATCAACCCTGTGTTTCTAAGTGGGGACAGCAGAGGGGCAGGGGCACACGGCGGCTTCCGCGGGCTCACGCTGTCCTGCAGGGGTGCTGTCGTGCCATTGCAGTTTGCTGCCTCCTTTCTGGAAAGCTTGGAGAGCCAGGCTGGGGCGGAAATGCAGGGCTTGCCAGCTTCTGGGCCGGGGGACCGGCTGCGCGCTAGCAGGTGGCTCTGGGTCTGCCTCGGGATGGAAGCAGCTCACTGCCGTGGTTGACGTGGCCCAGTGGAAGGGCACGCCTGTCCCCATGGCTAGCTCTGTGGCCTCAGCTGGTTGCCGTGCCCAAACTCAGTTAGCAGTAGGGCCCTGACGGTGTGATGTGGCCATGGGGAAGGATACCTGTGTGCTTGTCTGTGGAGTGGCTTCTGCCATGTTCCTTTCTCTTTCAGAGAAGGTCAAGTGCTACTAACTTGCGTACCTTTGCTTTCTTGTCTGGGCCTCTGCTTTTCTGTCTAGAGGTGGCCTGGAGAAGTGGGCTCCTGTTCACAGAGCATCGAGCTCCGAGGCTGGGCCTGTTCCCGGCCTTGGCCTTGTCCTGCGGAGCGAGACACGGGGCATGCACCTGCCTCCTGCCCTGTCCACAAGGCCTTCGCCTGCCTTCCCTGCCCTCCCTGCCCTCCCCCCTTCCCCCCCTCCCCCCTTGAATCAGCCAACTTTGGACCATGTCTGGCAGTCCACACACCAGGCCTTTTTAAAGAGTTTCTCCTTTGCTCAGCACAGAGAAGTTAAAAGAGGGGAAAAGAGTTACCTCATGGTCTTACTGTCCTGTGTCAGTTGGGTGTAGTCACTTGAGATATTTTTTTAAGTTGCATTTTCCTGGCTTTTAAGTTGTATTTCATGATTTTTAAGTTGCATAACACATGCTCCTGATAAACCATGTGGATGATTTAGACAAGTAGAGGAAGACAACGAGAAGGAAAAAAAATGTGGCCTCCCCTAATTTCTCCTGAGAACGCCCGCTAGCCTGATTTCCACCTGTATGTGTGAAAACGCCTTTTACAGCTATGACCCTGTTCCAGAAACATGCCTTCTTTTTGTTTACTAGGTTTATGAGCGTTTCTCATTTCATTCGAAATGCTTTGAGAACCTGGATTTTTGTACCAGTTGCGTAATATCACACGTTTAGGTCTGTTGCTTGGACCAGTTTCACAGGATGGACCCTTAGCTTTCAGTTGCTATCTTTGTGTGAGATGTTGATTAAAACATTTATGATAGCTTATAATTTAATAATAATGTTATTAAAACACTAATAAATTCCCTTCGAAGTAGGATTACTGGATGGAAGCTGCCTCAGCAGAACGCCCCAGTCTACACTCCCGCCAGCAGGGCACATTTATTTCTGTCTCTTTCCCAATATTGGACATTGTGGCTTTTCATCTGAGTCGTGAAATCTGGACCTTAAAGCAGAATTTCTGTCATTGTGGTCATCGTAAGCTAGTAGCCGTCCGTCGGTCGGTGTGGTCAAATATTGCAAAATAGCTTTCTTGATCCTTTATGTTTCTCCATCAATTAGGTTCACGTTCTTTGTCCATTTTTCTGTTGGGATGTTTATGTCTTACTGATTGTAGGAGCACATTGTATATGAAAAGTATCAATGTTTAGTTGCTATACGTTGCAAACATTTTTCCTCCGTGGTCGCTGGCCATTTATTTATTGTGTGATAATTATATTTATGCTGTGGTATCTATGACATGATTTTTTTTTTCTGTGTAAGAATTTATTTGAAATGTCCATTGTAAAATCTTTCGGTCTCTTAAAACAGTTTTTCTTCTATGCTAAGAATGCCCCCCCCACCCCAAAATGGCTTCGTAGTTTCATTTTATGGCTTCTAAATTGTAACACTGAAACATATTTGGAATATTTTTTTGAAACTTAGTAATTAGGCTTTTAGTAATATTTTGGATTATTATTACTTAGCATATATATATTTTTTCAGCTTTACCGGTGAGATTTATACTGTCACATTGCATTTGGAATTTGCAATGTGATATAAAGGTCTAACTTTGTTTATTTTTCTAGATAGTTAACCTACTAATTATTGCCTAGTTTATCCTTTTCTCACTGGCTTAAAATGCCACTTTGGAAACATTTAAAAAAGCCTCATTCTAGAATATTAGTCCAGAAACAATGCCTTGTTCTTGTGTAGGTATTTGTCCTGTAGCCCCGATGCTCATTGATTCTTCACACTGAACTAATTATTATGGCTTGGAAATTGTTTCCCTATTTGTATGTAGAAGTCCCTTTAATCATTTTTCTTAGCTACTCTCTGTCTTTAAAAATTTATTTCTTGAGAGAGAGAGAGAGAGACCGTGTGAGGGGGGTGGGGGTGAGGGAGTCAGAGAGAGGGAGACAGAATCTGAAGCAGGCTCCAGGCTCAGAGCTGTAAGCACAGAGCCTGATGTGGGACTCGAACCCACAAACCGTGAGATCATGACCTGAGCCCGCAGTCGGACGCTCAACCGACTGAGCTACCCAGGCGCCCCTTCTTAGCTACTCTCGATCATATTCTTACAGATGGATTTTACAGAAACTGAATCTTGGTTTTTTTCACATCAATGAGATGATATACTTTACAAAATTGTTTTTTTTATTTTATTAAATACTATTCTTGTAATAATATTTTCTGTCATTAGAACCTGTTTAACTTCATTTAAAATGTCTGCAAATTATTTGACTGTCTTGTTATTAAGCATAGCATACTGGCATAACTGCTTGGAGAAAATAAACTTTTTTTTTTTTTTTTTTTAAGCATCTGTCTCCCATACTGGAGTGGAAACTCTGTGAGAGCAGAGAGTAAGCCCTGCTAGTATCCCTGGCATTAAGCTTGGTGCCTGTGATACTGAAGTAGGTGCTCTATCGATATTTAGAAAATTACAACAGAGTAGGCATGACTTAATTTCCATTCTATTTTTCTCTCCTCTCTTTGTTGCTGTTATTAATAATGCTGAACCGAATGTCTTTTCCAGCATCTCTTAAAATAACCTGTACCTCTATGTCATATGACAAATAGTCACTGATTCAGTTAAAAACAATAGTTTTGTTGCATCATTTAAAACCTTTCTGGTTAATGGAAAAGTTAGATATTCATGTATTTTGTTTTTAATTAAAAAAAATTTTTTATTTTTCTTAAGTAACCTCTATACCCGACATGGGGTTCAGACTCACAACCCTGAGATCAAGAGTCACCTGCTCTTCTGACTGAGCCAGCCAGCCACCCTGCTATTAGTAGTTTTTAAAGTCTACTGTGTTGGGTCTGTAATGTCTGTTGTACGGTTTCTGAGGCCAAGCCATATTCTCTTCCTAAAGTTCTCTGAAATCATCAGATGTACATTTCTCTGTGTAGTGTCAGGCGGTGTGTTACATCCAGGTTTCTTATCGCCAGGGCTCATGGCTGATTTTATACAGGTTAAAAAATGATTTGTAAAACAATGTATGTCCTCTTCCTCTGACATGGAGTCCCAAGAAATGGGTGGACAGGTGTTGCTTGGAGGTCTGCAAAGTCCCAGATCAACCTTTTTGTCAGTGGCCAGATCTTTCCTGAAGGCTGGAGTCAGAAGGCAGGGGTAGAGGTGTGTGGTGGGGGAGGAGTCAGGGAGAACGGAGAGAAAGAGAACTCCAGGCAATTTGTGTAGAGAATTCTGGCTTGGAGATAAGGAACAGCTTTGCAAGAATGGCTTGTTATGGAGAAAGCTTTTGGTGTTTACTCACAAAGAACTCTTGAATCTTAAAAATGGTCATAGATTTTTATGGGAATCTTTCATTAGTTCACGAATGAACTTCCTGTCTTTTGGAATGAGAGGGTGGTTTGGTGAGAAGAAAGAAAAGCCACAAACAAAGGCAAGAATAAAAGTGTGTGTGTGTTGTGTACGCATGTGTGCGCGCGGTGGGGTGGGAGTACAGTTAAGCACGTTGCCTCTCTGAAGAACCCCAAGTGGTTTAGGGTAACTAAAGTTTGGGGAATACAAAGAAGAGTTTGAATGATATGGCTGGAGGGGTAGACCAGATAGCTAAGTTCTCCTGCTGCCTTGCAAAGGCTGAGCCATTGGGCAGCTACCTGGGCAAGTTATTTAACATCTCAGTGCCTTCAATTCCTCATCTGTAACATGGAGGAAATAAAATCCCTACAAAGAAACTGCTACTATGTGGATAAAATGGGTTAATGCCTGTAGAGCC